AAAAAATAAAACTCCAGGGTCCGTAGAACAGAGAAATGCTTTGACAGATCCTTGTCACTTGGGTGTTATGAAATTTCCATTTCATTACATATTTTAAAAGAGCTTAAAAAAAGGTACTTTTTAAGACTCATCTAAAAAGTCATCTCCATACCCGAGGTCATCTAGGTTTTCTCTCATGTTACATTCTAGCACTCTGGGAGGTTGAGGTTGAGGATTGCTTGAGGCCAGGAGTTTGAGACCAGCCTGAGCAACATAGTGAGACCCTGTCTCTACAAGAAAAAACAAAAAGAAAGAAAGAAAGAAAAAAGAAAAAATTAGTTGGGCATGGTGGCATGCACCTGTAGTCTTAGCTTCTTGGGAGGCTGAGGCAGGAAGATCACTTGAGCCCAGGAGTTTAAGGTTGCAGTGAGCTATGATAACACCATTGTACTCCAGCCTGGGTGACAGAGCGAGACCCTGTCTCGAAAAAAAAAAAAAAAGTAAAAGAACTCACTGAATTCTGGGTTGCCCTAGGAAAATTTTAGCTGCCTATATCCACAGCTATTTATACTTTCTAACAAGAAAAAGAAATACAGATTAACAAGGAGACACAATAGAACCTCACCTTTCTCATAACCTCAGCATACACAGAAGATGGAAAATACCATGATGTCATTTACCTTGATGTAGAGTAACAGCCACGAAATTCTGGCAGAGCTGTTTTGGGGCCACGCCAGAGGGAGGCATGAGCAAAGGGGCTGAGAGGGACAGAGTACAGACAAGAATCACCCTCAGGAAGAAAAAATCCCATGCTGGTGTGAGACGCTGGGAGTGGGGCTGAGACCTGGCAGGTCAGAGTGCTGGTGGCTTCAGGCATCAGACTCGAGACTGTGGGAACCAGGTAGCAGGCGGATACATGTCCCTTTGTGGGGGAGCATACAACAGATAGGGGGTGACACATTTGGAGGCTTGGTGACAAAGGGAGAAAAGCTTGTAAAAAGGGAAAATTAAGAGCTGCAGCAGCAAAGGCATACCGTAACACTGGAAGACACGCCAAGCCCACCACCACCAAACCAGGACATCTGCTGACACTGCACTTCACTATGCAGGCAGAAGAGGGCGCTCCTGACACTAGGGCTCTAAGCAGGTGCGACTAGCTGCTAGCTTAGAGCTGTTCACGCCATCTCACAAATACTAATAGAAAGCGATGTCTTCACGCACACAAAACCACTGTAAGGAGAAAAACGAGAATAAAACCTTTCTGTTGACGAAAAATTTCACAGAAAAACCACCTTCGAAGCAGCACAAATCTGTAATACCCGAATTCAACACTTGAAGATATGAAAAAACACATGCTTGCATCAGAAATTCAATCCCTCAGAACAAAAATAGACAACAAAAAGGAAGATATGAAATGAAAACTGACAAAATTCAGGAAGAAATGAAAAGAAAACATAAAAACCAAATTAGAAATAAAGACTAAATTACAGGCTCAAGGGAGAATACATTTGTAATTATAACTTTTAAAAATGTGATAAGAGGTAACTATAATGTTTGTACCCTCACAATACCCTGGAATAATAAAAAAGAAAATGTGATAAGAGACACTGATATAGGGAAGGAAACAGCCAAGAGAAGAAAAATGAAGAATTAAGAAGGCTCACCTTGTTCCTGCAAAAATCATCCAGCATGGTAACTCTAATACTGTCCTATTAAAAATTTTAGCTTAAAAGATACAGAAATAATCCTCAGAGCCTACAGCCAAAAAGAAAATGTATATAAAGAAAAAAATAGGTGGACATCAGACTTCTCAACAGCAATATATAAAGCAAGAAAACAGTGAAGCAGAAATGATTTTTAAAAGCCTGAAGAAATAAAGTTTAACCAAATATGTTATATACAGTCAAGTTGTTCTTCGAGTATCGGTGCTATAGGAAAAGGTTTAAGCCCTAAATTTTGATTTCAGTGGAAAGAGAAGCGACAAGTATGAATTAAATTCCAAACGCAAAAAAAAATTGCAGAAAGAAAAACAAACAGAAGATAGCACAAGGAAGGAAATAATAACGATAAAAGCAGAACTTAATTATAAAGAGAAAAACATTGAGACATAATTAATAAATTAAAACCTTGGTTCTCTGAAAAATTAAAATAA